AGAGAGAGAGAGAGAGAGAGAGAGAGAGAGAGAGAGAGAGAGAGAGAGAGAGAGACATGACACAAAAAAAAAAAAACGCCATCGGCGAGTGTTGCTGTGCGCCACGGCAACGGGGTCCACTTGTTTACATAAAGCAAGGTCGCTTGCATGTGTGTTGGTTACCTTAGGCTCTGCTTTGGGGGGGGGCAAGGACCTTAGGTGGTATGGGGTCCCATTTGGCGGGAGAGTTGGCTTGGGATAAGATCTGTTGGAGGATATAGGTGGGGAACCTACGGTACGGGATTGTCTTAAGGGATCCCGGTAGGAGGGGTGTTAGTGACAGACTCTGGTGGAGGAAATGGGGAACCTGCAGTAGGGGCTGTCTGAGGGGGATCCTCCAAGATAGGATGGTCTGCGTCCCATAAATTAGTTGCTGACTGTAGATAGGTACCAGTCGTGGGTCCACAAACCCACCTCTACAACACCCTGGAATTAGTTGCTGACTGTAGATAGGTATGTCGTGGGTCCAAAAACCGCCAAGTAGATAAAGCCCACCGGTAGCCCAGTGATCAAGCCCCCCAGGGGACTTGCATGGTCTAATGGGGATGCAGGTACGGGTTTGTGGTTAGACTGCTCATGTGTGTTGGTTACCTTAGGCTCTGCTTTGGGGGGGGCAAGGACCTTAGGTGGTATGGGGTCCCATTTGGCGGGAGGGTTGGCTTGGGATAAGATCTGTTGGAGGATATTGGTGGGGAACCTATAGTACGGGATTGTCTTAAGGGATCCGGGTAGGAGGGGTGTTAGTGACAGACTCTGGTGGAGGAAATGGGGAACCTGCAGTAGGGGCTGTCTGAGGGGGTTCCTCCAAGATAGGATGGTCTGCGTCCCATAAATTAGTTGCTGACTGTAGATAGGTACCAGTCGTGTGTCCACAAACCCACCTCTACAACACCCTGGAATTAGTTGCTGACTGTAGATAGGTACCTGTCGTGGGTCCAAAAACCGCCAAGTAGATAAAGCCCACCGGTAGCCCAGTGATCAAGCCCCGCAGGGGACTTGCATGAGGGTCAAAACATACCGAATGAAGTTCCCCTGTCGACAGTCCTTCCCTACAAATCCCGGAACTCATATCCCAGATGGCCCTTGTCGAAGTCTCCTAACTATCACAAATGCCCATGGCAATGTTGCATGCCCCTCATGAATTTCAAAGTGTGCACTGTACCAGATACCGCCAAGGTAGACATTTAGACAAAGGGCCATGAGACAGTCGTCGAGAGGCTGCTGAACTAAATGGGTCTCCATCCAAGTCCTGGGCTCTCTCTCTCTCTCTCTCTCTCACAAACACACAGACACAGTCTGGCA